CAGATTTGGCAAATACAGATTGGATGAGATCCACAAGGTATTTTTCTAAATTTGCCAAAGATGTGTTTAGCAGGTGATGTAGCTGGGCCAAATTTCTATAGCCAAAATATCAATGTATACATCTATTATGAAAAAGGCATCTCCTTATCGTGAAACTGAAAGTTACTGATGGCTTGCGCCATCTATCGGAATAAATATCAACTATTCTCGTTCATTTCTAATTATTCCAGATTTGGCCAAATACCCATTCTTGATTAATCAAGAAAAGCTAACCACGGACGCGTTTCGGGCTGTTGGCCCTCATCAGCGTGGTGCAAGCTGTACCTCAACGAACCAAAAAAACTGGTCCTTCAGGCATCTTGAAAAATCATGAAAGTATACATCTATGTTGGTTAAATATGAAATTTTCCTATTCACACATTCTATCCACTAAATCTCAAACTACCACAAACTGACACAAAAACTGACCAAAATGAAAAACACGAGAGAGAGAAAGGGAAATGATATATTATTCTACTTTATACGAAAGAAAAAAAAGATTAAACGCTCTTCATTTATTTAATCAATTCTCTTTCAAAATTATGATGAAATCCTTTGAAATCGACAACAAAAATTCAAGCAGACGATGAAAGAACGTAGTCGTCTGATGTAAGGTCGGTCCCCCCCCCCCCCCTGAAGCTTTCGACCCCCCGGGGTCTTTCTCAGTTGAGTTTGACATCATACTCCCCTTATCGTATGACCTACTTTACCTCACAACAGGACAATTTATAAAATTCCTTCAATCAACCCGATGTGTTTACTTTGGAGGGAAATGTGATCAGGTGTTGTTTCTTTACACGTCGTGGTTCTACAAGAAAGTATACAACAATACAAAGTTGGGGGAGAATGATATATTTCTTGTAGAGGGACTTTTTTATAGAAAAATTCAAAGGTTGAGAAGGTACATTGTCAGCCAGAATTCAAAATCATCATACCTGCCCATCACCTGGAGTGATAACTCCGCCGGTCCCAAGGCCGGATGAAAAAGAAGGAGGGAGGAGCAGTAACAAGCTCACTAAAAAACCTGGGTTCAGCTGGCCCGGCTGATAGTACCCTGTAAGGGCTCCTAATCCAGGAATACAAGATGAGCAGCGTTTATACTCCATGTTAGGAACGGCTGCACATGGCGTCTGTTCCTCATGTCAGAGGCGGCCATTTCTTTTGGAGCTAAGTCGGCCTGCCACTGAGTATTGCTCCCAGTCTTTAATGACAAAGGCAGACGCATTCTACTTCACCCAATCATGATGGTTGTCAACTTTACAAGCTTGATACCATAATATGATTGAGTGGAGATAAGAAAGAAGAAGACCTGGGGTGATGGTATGGGATGTCATTGGATAGACGTCTCATTCACTTCTTGTTCGCATGTCCGGCATTTTGAACCGTCCCCGTTACATTTCTGATATGCTAATACACAAGGCAGTACCCTTTATTCGATTTTTGGGAAACTCTACGTTTCAGCAGGATAATACACGACGCATGTTGCCGGTATTATACGGACCTTCCTACATACAGGAAATGTTCGACTTCTGCCCTGACCAGCACGTTCTCCTTATCTGTCACCAATAGAAAACGTCAATGGTTGCTGAGCGACTGGCTCGTCACTATACGCCAAGTTTCTACTCTCGATGAACTGTGACATGATCTTGAAGCTGTGTGGGAAGTTGTACATGCGATCCAATCTCTGTTTGACTAAACGCCAAGCGCTGTTATTGCTTCCAGAGGTGGTTCTTCTTCTACTTCCAAATCTCTTGAAAATTCAATCACTTGTTATTCCCAGTTTATAGAAAATAGCACAGACAATAAGCGCAACCTAGATGATAGATCCAACTTGAAGAAAGGTCGATGTTAATCTTAATTGTTGTTGTTATTCCCAGTATATTGCATTTGTATAATAAATATTATTTTAATATAAAAGAGCGTACCTGGATCTGTAAAGAAAAAAAAAACAATTTTTTTTCTCAAAATATTCCGAGAGATTGCTCCCTCTTTATCAATTGTGCACACTGTACAATAAATTGATAAAGAGGGAGCAATCTCTCGAAATATTTTGAGAATTTTTTTTTTCTTTACAGATCCAGGTACGCTCTTTTATATAATCTTAATTAATGGATCGCCTTTTGACTCAAATTATTATTTTGTTATTTAGATTTCTCCCTGGTGTATTTCAGTTTTCAACTAAGCATTTAGAAGTTATTTTGTAATACTGTGTGTGTGTGTCACGTGTAGGAAAATAAGGAAAGAAATACAAAATGTTAAGATGAAAAGGCATATAATTTAAGTCGATGAGATAAAAATGTGATGAGTACAGTAATTTATTAAAATAAAACATAAATCCTCCAGGGAAAAGATTCTTTTAAAAATATTTTTATTTAAAAATATCTCGAGCTTTCGGGCAAGTAAGCCCTTCTACGGGAGAAACTATTTTACATCCTTAATACGCCACAATAAAATAATATTTAAACTTAAATTTAAATTTAAACTTAAATACAGTCCTTTAGTTGTTTACATTTGTTTTGAGGCATAATCAACGCGGGCTTCTATTGCGCGTGATTCACTTGGAGGTTATGGGGTGGGCTCAGGAAATATAATGTTATAAACTTCCGGGATATCTATTCTTCTGTTAATACTATTGTGCTTTCTGGATATGATGGATTCTATTATTAGTCTCTGTAGTCTATTGGGGATGTTGGAGTAATGGGTCTTTGGTTCTGATAGGGAGAAGGAATGGCCTGTTTCTCTTATATGTTGGTATACTAAAGATCTACTGTCTTGGTTGTCGATATTTCGTTTATGTTCTGATATTCTTATATTTAAATGTCTGCCAGTTTCGCCAACATATTTGGTTTTGCATTCGTTGCATTCTATGGAATATATGGCATTCTTAATATTGGAAGGATAATCAACGGTATTGTTCTTTGTTATGGGGTTTCTTAGTAACGAATTTAAATTAGGTGAGTTGCTGAAAAATGTTTTGATCCCAAATTTCTTCAGATGACGGGCTATAGAAACAGATACTGGTGAATAAGGAATACTGCTAATAGATTTATAGATTGGGGAATTCCGAATTTCAGAGGGGCTATAGAAATGTCTTAGAATAAACGATAAAGGATATTGACAAGTCTTCAGATTTCTTAATATATTCTGAGTTTCTTCTGTTTTAAAGGTTTTTATTTTAAGGATGTAAAATAGTTTCTCCCGTAGAAGGGCTTACTTGCCCGAAAGCTCGAGATATTTTTAAATAAAAATATTTTTAAAAGAATCTTTTCCCTGGAGGATTTATGTTTTATTTTAATATTGATTCAAGGGATTATTTTTATCGAACAGTAATTTATTTAAATGAATAATATGTTGAGAGATTAAATGTATATAATAAATATTTTACTACAATATAAAAATATACATATTGGATATAATCAAATGAAATTTTCCTAGAGGTTCTTATGGATAAATAAAAAACGTTCAATCAGATTTGCATTATGTTATGCAACCTATAAAAACTAATGAAAATGGTGTCGAGGCGTATTCTTCACTGCAGAACAATACCAAACGAATTGTACAGCCGATAGACAAAAAAGCGCGGGAAACGAGGCGTGAGATTTGAGGGCAGCAAGGTCGCGCGTGCCTGTCGTCTGCATCTGCCAATTGTCCCCACACCACGTGAGCAGACGGGTCATCATCCCTCGATGTCACATGTACTCTTTTTTATAAGTGTGCAGTACTCTTGTCTTAATACTATATGCTAAAGAAGGGGAAAAAGCATATGCTGTCGTGTAAAAAAAGGGTTTCTGATGGTTAACGCCATCTGTCGTATTAAATATCAACTATTACAAGAGAAGGAATCGTCTGATATCACTTTGAAGAAAGAACAAAAGTTAATGGCGACGGGTTTCTTTTATTAAAGCTGTAAATTCGGCAAGCTTTCTGACTTTGACGTCCTTTAACAGACAACTTTACAAGAAAGAGAGAGAGAAATAAGGATAACCCAGGCTCCTGGAGCGCAATTTCCAAGAAACTGAAAGATAATATATGTATACAGGTAAATATTGTTGCACCAGGTTGCGGCTTGGCAGACTCTTCAGCCTTGATTCTCTCCTGTGCTGGGTCTTGCATCTTACCAGAGCGTGTTTCAACCATCCTACAAATTTATAAAAGGGAATAATGAGATAAGTCTACTTTAAGTAGCCTCCAGAATTATTTATTTATTTCTCGCATCAAAGAGAGCAGTGAAGTCACACGTGTACCTAAATACAAATGATGATTCTATAATACATATATTCTGTTTAATAAAATAAATATAATTATAAAATATAATTTTGAATTTAAAATATATGAAAAATAATATTACTAATTAAAATAAAATAGGTTCATTAGCCATGATGCAACAATATTTACATAATTAGGAATTTTTTTTAATGAATTAAATGATTATTATACAAAATTATTTTCTCTTTATCTATGTAAACAAATTTGTTCTGAGAAAAGGATGACTACCTTTGACTTACTTGACATACTCGTTACGTTAACTTTTGTCCCTTCTTCAAATATCAACTATTCGTCGATTTTTTAAATTTATTCCAGAAAACCGTGTAGTTGGTGAATTCTTTACGCTCCAGAGGAACCTATGTTAACTAAATAAATAATAATAAAATTCTTGAATATTGGTCTCAATACCCTCTTTTAGATTCATCAAGCCAACCACGTTTGGATTTAAGAGGCTAAATTATTCCTTTACAAGTATATTTACTTGTATAAACATCTACTATATAAGTATGTATTTATTAGGTATTTTATAATACAATTAAATGCGGCTTATAATTGTAGAAGGACATTTTAAATTTATCCCGCATGTGTTTCTTTTGAACGAAAAATCGAAATTTATTTAAAGGAGAAATAACGATTATTAGGAATGAGGTATGAAAGGATGAATTGTGAAGAGTAATGATGAACGGAAAAATAAAGTGTCCAGCCTAGTGGACATGGCATCTGCCCGGTAAGCGGAACACTGTGGGTTCGATTCCCATCCCTGGACACTTTATTTTTCCGTTTATCATTACTCTTCGCAATTCACCCTTTCATACTTCATCCCTAAGATTAGAAATAATCGTTATATTTCTCTTTCAAATAAACTTCGATTTTTCGTTCAACAGAAACACATGCGGGATTTATTAGGTATGTATATATAATTGCTGAGTACTACAATAATTTATTTGTGATTTACATCTTTACCTCCGTTATATATTCTTCCTTTATAAATACCAATCCAAATTTTGGAAACAACTAAAATATTCTTATTCTGATTGGACGTGATTTTTTTACCTTGAAGCTTAGATTGGTACTTGTAAACGAATAAGGTGTAATAGGGTTAAATATCACAAAGCAATATCGCGCCATCTATACATAATGTTTATTTTATACACAATACAAATTTCTACTGTCTTTATTGCGATGGAAAAAAAGATATATTGGTAGGGCTTGGCTAATCAGTGGTCAACCTTCCCAGCGGTTTCGACAATTTCGCCAAAAGCGGTCTAGTGGATTAAATTGGTGAAACCGCTGGGAGGGTTCACCACTGATGAGCTAAGCCCTCCCAATATATTTTTTCATCGCAGTAAAGACAGTAGAAATTTGTATTGTGTATAAAAGAAACATATTCGTGTTTAAATTCCTTTATTTTAAGAGTTAAATATATATGTTATGTATTGTTGATTGTTGTAAAATTCTAATCTCAAAATTCAACAGCCCATTTGTGTGAAGCACTAAGTGTTGGAATATTGCAAAGAGTAACAATGGCTATAGATGAGACTGAGTTTGAAAAGGAACTTGTATGTATATAATGTTTTAAGTATTGTTTTTGTTGTTTTCATGTAAAACATATACCAAGATTTGTATAATTTCTATTAATAATAAATAATATGTAAAGTTGGTTACATCCTAATTTAATCTCTCTTTCTCTATCAAACAGTATATAGTTTTTTATTATCCCTAGTACACTTGGTATAGGTCATGATAATCATGGTGGGTAGAAGTTGGCGATTGCTTTTACTGTAAAGTGCACCACATGTCTATACATGTGAAAAGTAGTTCGACTTTGCACTTGCAAGTGTGCCTCATTTGGTTACTTGCACTCGCTTATAGAATTGGACCTTTGCAAATTAAATCAGTTTTGAGAGGCATAGGTTTATAGTTTGACTCTTTATCAAGAAGCTTCAACAATAAAAAGATTTACTGGCCGAAGTGTCTTTACTTTCTTTTCTAACTTACTTTAATTACATAACATGTTGTACTCTGTTAGCTACTGTTGTCTGAACATGACTTTGTCAGCTATATGCAGTTTTGATGGAGTTATGTAACAAACCAATGAGTTTGAAATAAACATATACTATATGTAACTATGTTTTTTATTTTGTTTCTGACGTTTTAGTGACTCACTATCACTCTCTTCAGGGAAATGATTATTTTTGAATTCTATTTTCTATTTGTGACATCGCGACTCACTACATACACACACAATACTGTCATCGAGAATGCTGGGGACATGGATTTCATAATCCGCAACGGCCTGTCCGACCGAACTCAAGGCGGCTTTAAGCTCCTGGTGAAATCCAAACGTCCCTCCGTCTGTTGTATATATTTCTCATTCGCTTCCCAGTTCGATTCCCATCCCTGGCCATTTTATTTTTCCGTTTATCATTATTTTTCACGCAGTGTATTATATTGTATTATAAGTTACTTTATGTATCATTTACGAACGGAAAAATACGTCCAGGGTAGCCTAGTGGACATGGCATCTACCCGGTAAGCGGAACATTGTGGGTTCGATTCCCATCCCTGGACATTTTTATTTTTCCGTTTATCATTACTTTTCATTATTCATCCTTTCATACCTCATCCAAAAAGGTTAGAAATAGTCGTTATTTCACCTTGAAATAAAATTTTGATTTTTAATTGAAAAGAAACTCATGCGGTGTAACTTAAAGTGTTGTTTTACTATCACAAGGCCGCAGTGTATTATATTGTATTATAAATATTTCTCCCTATTTTGAAAATGGCTGTAAACCTTCTCCCTACTGTTGACTAGATGTTAATAAACCATTTTTAATTGTCAATTGTCGCACACACAAAAGCCTTTATTAAGGACTTGCCCCATACAGATTCTCCCAATTGGGTAAGGTAATAATCATCTTGTATTATTTACATAGGTAGTGAAATAGAAATTGAACTGGCTTTACTCTTCATCTCAAAGTCATTCACTTGTTGACTGGTCCTTACATAATGATGATCTAAAAATATATATATAATAAGCTATTGCATTAGATTTGTTTGCTGATATTTTTGAAAGCAATACGTAGGGTGAAATGTTGGTACATTTAATTTGTTGGTATAGGGCCTTCCTTTCTTCATCAATGGCTGTACGATTAAGCAGGTAGACAGCGCGAGTCACTAAAATGTCTAAAACTAAATAAAAAATTAGTTAATGTAACCATATCTTTTTCCAAGCAAACTTTCAACCAACAAACTACTGAGTCATCTTCTTTTTCATTTTTAACGATATTCTCAGCTATTGTGATGTAGTACAAGTAAATAAAACTCTCATTATCCAATGATGGCATGAGAAACTCAATTTTTGTCTTTCTTCCTGAAACCATAGACATGGACAAAGACATGATAAAATCCCGACAAACCAATATATCAACAAATTAGACAGAAAATAAAGACTTTTTTTTAGTTTATGTAATAATATTTTATGAAGACTCTTCCCCCAAACACCGTAAATTAGTTATTCATATGCTGAAACATCTTTAGATTTTTATTTATTGGATGTTGACACACTGTCGAGATATACAGGGTGCGGTAGATAAGTAATGAGACTCAGTCTAGAAAAACAAATTTATTGATCCGATTTGTACAAAACGTTAATATTCTTCAAAGAACTCGCCTTGGGCGTCGACACAACATTAATAGCGCGTTTTCCAAGCTTCATAGGCCCCACTGTAGTCCGTTGGAGTTATCCCAGTTAGTGCCTTCGTGACAGCACGTTGGATGTTCGGGATATCGTCGAAACGATGACCCTTCAGGCATCTTTTTACCTTCGGAAATAGGAAGAAATCAGGAGGACTCATGTCAGGGCTGTATGGTGCCTGTATTTTGTCCCGGAAAAACAGCCGTCAATACTACAGATATATCACTTGAATCGACGAAGGAATTGGAAAAAAAAAAATTCCACATGACACTACTTATCTATAAAAGTGCAAAGTAATTGCATAATTGAAGTATTGCATTAAAAATAACGTGTGCATCCGTACATTCTCTCTTTTTTCACCGACAAAACAAACGAAGGAAGAAAGTTGAAAAAACAATGTTGTGTGCAAAGAAGGAAGACCTACTTGTAAACAACAGTTTTTTTCCGCATCTCTGTGCAGTGAAATCTGGTGACACGGAACATTTCGTCACAAGAAGTCACAATAGGGATGTAACAGTGAGTGATGAGCTAAACACTTCCCTTAACAAAAAGGTTGGTGAACTACTTAATACACATTTCTACACTTCTTCAACAAAAAGAAGAAATGGAAAAAGACCTATCATTTGGTAAACCATATCATAGGTTCCCCACATCCTTTATTTAAGCTTTCTTTCTCTACCAGACCGTATATACTTTTTTAATTATCCCTTATACACTTGGTACAGGCCATGATAATCATGGTGGATAGAAGTTAGCGATTGCTTTTATTTTAAGTGCACTACATATCTATACGTGTAAAAAGCAGTTCGACTTTGCACTTACAAGTGTGTCCCGTTTGGTTACTTGCACTCGCTTATGGAGCTGAACCTTTGCAAGATTCGGGGGCGATTAAAGAATTTTTTTTAAATTATAAAAAAGTGTCCGAAGCGGGATTAAATCCCGGGTCGTAAAGATCTAAACCTACAGTTTTGACCACTCGTCCACTATTTCTTAAAGATACTCTTCCCTAGATAGAATTTTGTCTCTCAATAGAAATATATTTATTGTGCTACTTTCATTTTTAACTATACATATCAAATATCTATTTCTACATCCTTTATATTGTAATGATGCCCAAAAATTGAAAAAGAGAAGGCATGACTCATCAGTGATGAACCCTCCCAGCGGTTTTACCATTTCAATCTCTAGAAAGTTTCAATATTGTAGCAAAGTATTTATTATTTTATTAACAGAGTATCATTTTTTATGCTTATATATTTGCTACTCTGTAAACTTCCCTCATTGCTTATCTTTTGTTTATCATGCATAGCTTGTTCTTGCCTTAAATAAATTGCTGTGTCATCCCGAAGTTTGTCTTTCCTAATTTTCCAAGTGGCAATATTGTTCGGTTCCAAAATCACTTTATTAGGTACCGCTTAACAAGAGCAACCTAGTTTATGATATTTACAACAATGAATGTGAAAGTTATTCACATATTAAAACAAAATGTCAACACAGGATTCAATCCCGGTTCATGGCTGTCGGGAATCGAGGGTGTTACTCACTCGTCCACCTCAAATTTGTATTAGACTGAATTTGTATATACCCTCTTATTGAATACAGTAAATTGGTGTTCTGAAAGAACTATGGACATTTGCTTCTAAAACTGTATATATGTATTGCCACGTGGAAAATTAGGGAAGACAAACTCCAGTATGACACCGCAATTTATTTAAGACAAGAACAAACTATGAATGATAATCAAAAGATAAGGAATGAGGTAAGTTTACAGAGTATTAAAATATAAACATAAAAAATGATAATCTGTTAATAAATACTTCATTACAGTATATAAGTATAAAGATTTGAGACATCGAGCAAGGGTCTTCCGCTAAATCACAAAATAAGTTTGTTAAGCTACATTCACAATATCTTCGTATCACTATCATATCTGATGGTTGTTCCCCTATCCGCCATCTTACCATGCCAGTAATTTCTTTTGTTTTTTTGTTGTCCTTGATATAACATTTGGAATTTTGTTTCTAATATTAATTTTATCATTTTCATTTAAATTACTAATACCATTTTCAATG